ACCCACCCTATCAATTTTCTGCTTCCTGGCCACAGCATCACGTAGTTCTGTGCGCTCTAAGTTTAGCGCACAATTCCGTGCCAGCACTTCAAAAGTAGCCATCACAGGTTCATGCTAAGGTGACGAAACGTTGTGCTCGTCAATTCAATAGATCTAGGTGTGAGTGTGAGTGACAATGAAGAGGATCACATAGCGCGCACGGTTTGCGAGGCACAGACACCGGGAAATGCATGTGCAGTGAATGATGGGTAAGTCGCCGCTTGGAAACAAGTTATTATGCAAATCTGGCTATTTGTTTACGGTAGTGTCGCTGGCAGTGGAGGTTTAACAGAAGAAAAATTCAAATTTTTCAAAGAAAATAGAAATTTGTGAAATAGAAGCTAAACTTCATCGCTTCGTTTCACAACAACTGACTGAGCCCAACTAACGGCTCGCCGAGCAGCGGATGAGTGGACGTCGGTCGACTCGACGACAACGAGCGAAGCTGACGCACGCGAGTCAAAAAGTAAACAGGGAAAAGAGACGATGAGTGAACGCAAATATTTCGCGAACCATAGGTGGTGAAGGAAAAGCGACTTTACCGCTGTCGTATGTTAATACGATCACGACAAAGTGCTGCTGTGCAGCGGGAAAAAAGAACTGCGTTGAACGGCGAAAGGTTGTGCTGGGTAACCCATGTTTACCAATATTTAAACAAGTTTTTTTTAAAATAAGATACCTTGAAATAATCTTAGTCAAAATCGAGTTAATATTAATGACTGAATAGTGAGTATCTACGAATCATTTAAAATCCGAGTTTTTCCTATCAACTGATAAAATCTTATAAATAGACCTTTTGAGAGTTCTCTCTTCCAGTTTTTAAAAGAAGAACGAGATTTTTGAGAATTATTGACAGAAATTAGAATAACTCAATATTGGTTATAGAGGGAAGAAAAAAAGTAGGCGATTACTTTTGGACAGCGTCATGGGTTGGCTGAGCACGGAAATATCTTTGAAATTATGTGAATAGTACACTAATTTAACTTACCAAATTTTGTAGGGAAGGGCAAATTGTAGGCGAATGTAGGCGAAGTGGTAGGGGAAGGGAGGCAGAAGTTGATGCACTGCTAAGAATCTTGTTGTGTACCATACGAGCATGGCTCGAATTCCCTAAGTTTTCCACCTCCTCGTGATGGTAGTTTTGGTACGGAGCACTTTTGAGTGGGTAAAATGACCTCATCGAGAGCCCTCGCAAGTCATTGTATAGGCGCAATACGCAGTCAACTGCTTCCCGATTGAAATAAAATGGCATATCTCCCCCAAATTAAGTTATTGGTCGCACCAAAAAACTTTACGAAACTGCATTTCTTTTTCCAACTTTTATAGTTTTCACTGATTTATTGTTATTTCAAATTTTGAGCGCTTATTGTCTACCCTTATTTTCAGCCATTGTTAAAGTCTTTTAAAATTAATCGTCTAGAATTGTTAGTCGAAAGAAATGGCCGTTTCCAAGTTTGCAAGATGACCAGAGAAAGTAGTAAAATTCTTTTTTTTCAAACTTTCATTTAATCAATTTAGTGCAGTTTTCTTACTTATAGATAAATCAAAGCTTTGACGGGAAACTATCAAAAACGTACAGACTACAGCGGTAAGGCTTACTGTGATCATGCTAACTATTGACTATGTGTCTAGTCTATAAGACTTTTTTTTTCACAGACACTTGCAATGTAAATATTTTGAGTGAAATCGATGCGAGATCTAGAAACCTATCTATAGGAACTAAAGATGCAATCATGCAAGTTTACTAGTCAATTTATCTAAATAATATTTATTTATCTAAATAGGATTTTTGTGTTTCAGTTCATTTCACATAAAATCACTAAAGTGCGCAACCATATTTAATCGATTCAGAGAACTAAGGCTACCGTAGTGAGTGTAAATTTTAGCAATGACCCATTTTCTTATTAATCAACTTATGATACCATCTTAAAAACTAGAAACTTTCTAAAATTTGAAACTTTTTTGGAAACTACTAATGCAGACCAAGGAAATCACATATCCGGTATAGTACCCAGCCAAAAGCGGTACATGTGAAATTTGTGAATGGAAAATGCTCATAAGTTGTTCTGGTAATTGAATGAAGGTTGGCTATAATCTTTCTCTTTCTCGGATTTCAACAACACTGTACAACATTATATATACAACGCTGTTTTTATGATAATGACTTTGAATAGGCAGGCTTTCCCTTCTACTAACAGAAAATTTTCCTACTTACGTAGTAATTTTTCACATGTTTTGAGATGTAGGAATTGAAGTTTTTAGCTCCTTTCGGGGTCTCCTATCACAAGATGGAATAGCAAGATCTTTGAATCAGCAACAATTGCACGCTATTTTAGGACTGAGGTGAGCGAACCTTTAAATTTTTCAAGCAGTTTTATAGCATTTATTTTTTTTTCTTTTTTTCACTTGAACTAACACGAACTAGCAACCGAAAAGTAAACATTCAATTGCACTCAATCTCATTCCTGCCGGTACATTCTAAAGGAAATGTCTGGAAAGCAGCAAGACAAATGGGACACATCGAAGGGTTATTACTCTTGTCGTACTACCCCTCAGTTAAGAACTGCACATCTATAAGTTAGACAAGAACAAGTAGATTTTTTCAGTTGGCAACAAAAAATAACTCTAACAAGATATCCATTCTAAGAATTTCATTCAAAATCGATCAAATTCAGAGAGATGGGTCTAATCGATTGATCACTTTAGAATGAATGAAAACAAGTTTAAGCGATTTTTATCGTATGATACATAGATATGCCGAGACTGTAAGAATAAGTCTCGAACTTTTTAGAAATTAATTTGTTAATTCATGTCTGATTGAAAACCTGTAAAACTCACTAATTAAGATATGCGACATTTTGGCCTGATATTGCACATGTTAAATCACAAATTACACCCAGTTTCGCGTTTTCTTCAC